ATCACAGTGAGTAACCAAAAGTTTCTTGAGAGTATATTTTTTGGATTTGTATAATTTTTCAAAGCTATGCAGACAGCTTCAATGCAATTTCTTCAAACCTAACTCACTCACTCTGCATCTCAAACACGCACACCAGGAATGCAGCAGTCTGGCACGAGTTGCTCATGAGAGGGAAGAGGAGCCAGCTGCTATTTATACATGACATACACTATGCCCACACTCTTAGCAAGTGACTTCAGACTGTGGCATGGAAAAATACTTGAGGAACAGACCCTCGTTTTATTTCAGTTTTAGGAATCCCATCAGCACACTCACTGAAGAAACAGCTCCTAGAAAAGCTGCATGCAAACACATAGAGCTAGATTTTAAAACTCTGTTAGTTTTGGCCTGCCTTTGCTCTCTCTGGAGTTATTTTGGCCAGCACTCTCCATTTCTGAGAATCTTGCAGATAGAATTACAAGAGGGAGACTTCTTCACACACACTCTGATGCACTGAAGGAACACTTCTGGCATCTTTAAAGAACCTGTCTTCTCTGGAACTGGGGATACCATGGAAGGTATTATATAAAAAAATTACAGGCAGTGTATCCATATTTCAATGGCACCTATTTTAAATTCCACTGAATTGTGTGAAACACTTACATTGGACCAAATAAGAAAGATCTTCTGAATAAATAAAGTAAGGAAGCTTGGCTGATAGAGCAAAGATTATTTTAAAATACAAAGTAGAACAAACTGCTCTCAGTAATACTGTGCTTTATTGGGGCATCCCCTTTTGATATACTTGAAAATTCTACACTGATGAATAACATCAGAGCAGGAGGAGAGGGGAAGGGGGAGAGGGGGAAGGGGGAAGGGGGGAGGGAGAAGGGGGGGGGGGGGAGGGGAAGGGAAGGGAAGGGAAGGGAAGGGAGCAATTCAGTCAAGGCCTCTGAAGGAAGTGATGAGTTGCCGGGAAAATGAGGAGATGTAAACCCTGACCCTCACAAAGCCTCATTTTAGAATGCGCTGAAGGACTCAAGTTACTTCACTGGACACTGAATTTTGTCTTTACTAACAGCACCCGAAGAATATTTTGCATTTTCATTGACTTCTGACAGGATTTAATTACAGCTGCTGTACTATGCTGTATGCAAAATATAACACAGAAACATGTTACCTGGCATAGCTGAGGTGAAGGTAAGCAGCATCTGCTTCACTTGGGTGAGTCACAGCTGAAGGAAGAAATAATTTGCTGAGAGCTGCAAGTCAAATCGGTGGCATAGCCAAGCTTGGAAATTAGGCATTCATCATTTCAAGGAGAAAATATTTGGGATGATGTTACTTGCTGAGTTTGGGGAAAAAAGGAGAGGGACAAGAGATTCTCTTTTACTAAAACTAAAAGTGCAGTGTGTGGTTTAATTACTACAAAAACACCATCAATGCAAAAGGCATCGAGCAGACTGGAATACTGAAAAGCAGTAAGCAATAAACACTGAGGTGAGACATGATTCAGATAAGTCATTTGGATAATGCAATAGATCACGTAAATCACCATCATCCCAGAAACAAACTGCAAAGCTGACTTTATTACTGACACTGGTAACACCAGCACTCTGCAGGTGCTCACTGCAGGAAAAAGGAGCTGGGAGCGATGTGAGCACAGACATCTCCAGTCACCCGGATGCAGACATGACTCCACTCCACTGCCACAAGAACCCTATGTGAATTCAGGAGCAGTCAGTCAGTACTCTCCGTGTTTCTGGCCAGTTTATAGTAGCCTAAGTAAATCCTTAATAAAGGCATCTGAAGAGGAGAGCACCTGCATTTTCTTCACAACAAGAACCAATTTTATATCCTCAAACAGTAGAGATAATTCTGTTTGGTGGAGCACTTTTTGAAAATGGCTTATTTCATAAAGAGGATGTGAAATGCCATTTAAAATTTCTCTCTCCTTTTCCTGAGAAAGTATTTCCTAATACCCCTTTTTCACTTAAACATTTTGCTAAAGTTTCTTTCTTTTTTTTTTTTTTTTCCTGGAAATAAACTCATTAATTCTTGCCTTAGCACTGTTGGATGTATAATAAAACCATATTACTTTTCATTCTGCCATATCCCCTTGCTTGTCTGAAGGTTAGCACTGCATTTCCTTTCGTTCCTCAAAGGAAAGAGAACAACTTTATTTGTCTTTCCTTGCATTAAGCACATCTCCCATCATCCTTGTGGCCGAGAAAACAGAGATCTCCAGTTGATCCAATCTTTATTTACTTCAAGTGTTTAACATTGAACATACTGCAGCTAAGGATTCAATGGCAGGATCATCTCCCAGCACACATACACCTTGTGCTGCTGGTCCTCCAGCATCTGAGGGGAGCAACGCTGTTTTTTTTTTTTATCTTTTAGCTCACCAAACAAGATCCCAAAAAATAAAAATAAAAATCATTACCTTCCCCTACTGTTGATCACACCTTCCAAGAAGGGATCCATCGGTTGTGGCCATCTGGCACAATATCATCAGCAAAGATGTTTGAAGTCTTTACTCATTCTGAAGCTCATTCACTAAACAACTAGCTCCTCACACACTATTAGTATGGGGACAAGGAATTTTCACGTGTCAGGATCACAGTGGTTACAAACACAGTTACAGATGGCTGACGGTCTTCTGTTTTAACACAAAAGGTGCAGACTTCAGCCTGCAGCACAATGCAGTAGAGCTGAGCAGCTCCAGGCAGGACCATTGCCTGCAACATGCATGAGCCCACTCTGCTGCTAGTCATGCTGCAGATCTACTTGCTCAGTCCTTGTTCAGCAGTACAGCACATGCACATCTTGCCCTTCACTAGGCTTTGGCCATGCAGTTCTCCTTTTTCTGCACAACTCATACTGCCCAATTATCCAGAGAGAGACACTGGTAAACATGCGTGGGCAAAGAAAGAAATAAGTGACCGCTTATGCCAAAATATGTATACATTAAAATGAATAAATAAAAAAAATAAAAGAAAATATATTGTATATTTCATATACAAGGCCAACTGAGAAACCCTCCGTGAAGTTGTGAAGGAACAGCTTATCAGTGTTTGGTGCACCACCTGGGTGCAGAGAGCGGATTCTTTTATGCACATTAAAAGTTTCAGATAAAAGGACCCCTGCTTACTGACTTGTTGCTATATCTCTCTACATATAGTTGAATTATGTCTCTGTATATATTACAAACAAAGGGATCTATCTGTTCAGAAATCCCTTCCATATCAGACCACTAGTGAAACCAAAAGGGAGAATCATGCCTGCTGTTGTGCAAATCAGTAACCTCAGACAGGCTCCAGACATGCAAAGTCTTGGGGAAGCCATCTCCTGCGGATGATAAGGTCTGGGCTTCTGCTGCACCCATCGTCTCAGCCACTACAAAAATGCAACCTCACCATGTAACATCAGAGGACCATGAGCAAAGAATAACTGTCACTGGCAGAATTCCTCCATACTTTTGTCAAATACTCATTACTGTTACAATACTTCGCCGCTGTCCCAGTGCTTTTATTTCCAGAGCTCTTCGGATATTCACAAAGGTGGTGAGGACAAAACGCAAAGCAGATCTACAGATGTGCAGAGCTTCCTTTCAGAAGTCTTTCATCTATCATATGATACTTTCTGGTTAAGTGATCACCTCTGATTTGTTGAATCAGAGTCTTAATCATGTCCTTGGCACCAAGCAAAGGAGCTGCTAGCAACATCAACAGGGTTATTCAGGATTGGAGGTGGAAGTCCCCACCGTTTAAAGCAAGAGTTAGACAGTATTACCACATGATCCCCTCACTCAGACTCTTTGAAGTGCTATGAAAACATTTTTAAAGCAATATTTGCCACAGGGTAGTCACTCACATTATATCAGCCTTACCCCTCCTCTTTTCATCTGTGAGCACCTCATTACCAGTGGATAATACCAATGCTGAAATACCACTTTCCCTTGGGAACAAAATAATAATTGTGTGTGTCATTCGAGAAGGACCTGCTTAGGCCTTTATATGCAGCAATGCATGGTTATGAAGCACTTCTGACAAAAACTTTGATTTTGTCGTGTTCTCAGGTAAAGAAATACCAGTATAATGTGTGTTCATTTGTTTCCAGTCAGGGATCTTGAATGCACGTTTGTTTGCACAAAAAGCAAACATATCTGCCCATTAAGGCAGAAAATGAAATAAAGATGCCAGTAACTGCAACAACAGTACTGCTACTATTACTACATTTCCATTTGTCCAGAGACAACAATGAGTATTTATTCCATGAAATTCATGACTTGGCTCTGTATTTTCCTTTCTCTAGAATAAGAGTTAACAGGGCTCACGTTGTAATGAGCTTTATCAGAACACGACCTCCTCAAATCAGCTCAGGAAGTCAAAGTTTAGGTGAAAAAGAACACAGAAGGAAAGACTGCAAAGGTCAGCAGATGTGCTGAAATTACTGTACACAATGTAGCTGTCATTATTTTAGAAGAATTTCTCAAATAAATATTTCAGATTTGGGCTTAAACCCTCTGAAACAGACCCTTGTGCCTTACATTTTGTACTGTGGAACTCTTAAGTTAAATTCTTTCCCCTTCCTGAGTAATTACCACAATCTCATTTGAGAGTATTTAGACCAAAGCATAATCCCTTCCCCAAAGCCCAGCCTGCTTACCACCTTGCAGGGTGTGCAGCCAAGCCCTGGCCTTGTCCATCTTTAGGACCACCTCTGCATTCATCTCCAACTACAACAGAGCACCCTTCACTGCTCTAAATATTCAATTTTTTGAAATTTCTCCAAATCTTACAACTGCTCTGTTTTTGCTTTGATTTTGAAATCAGCGAGTTTCAGTAAAATATGAAGGGAACCTCCAGATACAAACGTAGTCCAAGCCTATTTTCAAAATGGAGATACTCTTCCACAAGAGAACGGGGCTTTTCATGCTGTCCTCTGTCCTGGCTCCATCTCCCAGAACACACGCAAAAAAGCCTCCAATACTGTCCAACACATCCAAGCCAAAAGGGCGAAGGTCACCCACTGAGGCAACAAAAGGAGGATAATGGCAGAGCGGAACAATCTGAACCCAAGGTATTTTTAAACTTTATCATCATGGGAGTTAAAACACTGCGCATAATGCTAGTTGTTGTCAAGATTAACTATGGTATCGTGGGAAAAAAGGGCTAAAGTCACATAATAATTACATTCACTTTGATGTTTATTAAGAACAGCTACTCTTGTAAAATTATAATGCTGCATTCACAGATTAGAGACTAAGTTCCGTCAGCACTTTCACTATAACATTTAGTAAGATTAGTCATTTTGTTAATGAAATATACATCTGGATTATGCTTTTTAAAAAAGGCTTTCTATACAGACCCTTTAACCTACAAATACAGGACTGATAGGATTTTATACAATAAGTGTTAAATGCATATGCAGCAATAACCTTCATTCTTGCATGGAGAGGTACATCTACACACAGGCATTTTACCTTTTGACAAAGAAATGAAGTTCTACTTTTATGCAAGGCTCCTTGTCAACAGAATTTCAAAATCCAACTTCATTTAAAAATGACAGTGAGTATAAAAAAAGAAAGAATTTTCTCTACTCTTGGTGCACAGGGCAAAATTTGCGGAGAGGCTCAAATTACTTGTGTGGGAGAGAGAAAACAAAGATGGAGAAGCATGAAGAAAAAGTGCCCTTCTGCAAATTTCCAGTACAAAGATTCATCTAGAGAAGGTGATAAAATAACAGTTCCTTCAGTCTGCCTCTATTGGGTCAGGAGATGCAGTGACCAGGTAGCTTAATGGTGCTCAGTACATAATAACACCCACTGCCATCATAGATGGGTGTTTTTCAAGACTTTGAATATTCATTACACATTCTGGAGAGGCAGCAATTGTTATTATTATTGTTTTCTGGGTGGAGATTGAGGCAAAGAGAAAGTACCTAATCTGAATGAATACATAAATTGGTACTTAGAGCAATTTAGGAGAAATTTGGGTATGCAAGTTCAAGCAAGTGAGCCATCAGCTCTCCACCCAGCTGCCTGGGCTGTGGGGTGTCCAAGTTCTCACCAGAGGCTCAGGCTGTTATGCATTTTATGAGCACCTCCAAAACTGTGCTGTAGGTTGTGTTGAGCCAGGGTGCTTGTCTTAAGCCTGAAACACAGCCACCTTCCCCACTCTTGTCAGGTACGAACCCAGCACTCTCACCTGTCGCCTCCTACCTTGAAAACTTGGCTGCTGGACAAAGCAAACTGGAGATAATTCTCACTTTGTAGATGATGCATTGGTTACAAAAAGGAGAAATATAACATTCAGAGCAAGAGTAATGACAAAGAGGACAGCACTCCAGCACTCCAAGTCCCGAGTACACATTCCTGTGCCTTATCCTGGTTAATACAATAAATGTCAGAAGCTAAAGCAGTGATGAACAGCAGACTCCACTGCTCTAGACTGTTTTCCAGAGCTAGATTTTAAAGCTGAGTTCAGGTATCTACACAAACTTTGGCCTTCAGCACAGTCATAACATTCTGAAAAGAAATCAGTGGGAAAGAATGGCTGAGGGCAGCTCAGATGGAGGGACAGAAAACAGACAGAAGGGTGGTTAACAACTACAGTTTCCAGTATGAAGTTTACAGCTGTTAAGACACTCGGTGATGCAGCATAGAGCAGGATTGCAATTAATTTTACTGTTGTAGACAATACCAACAAGGAAAAGTGAATGTTTTCTAATCATTACAGGGCAAGATTTTCCATCTTTATAAGCTGGCAAAAGGGAGATTTTAGTATTAGCTTTCACAGTGAGAGTAACGGGACACTGGAACAGGCTGCCCGAGGAGGTTGTGGAGTCTCCCCTGGAGATACTCAAGACCAGCCTGGACACCCATCTGTGCCACCAGCTATAGAGAGTCTGCTTTGCAGAGGGGTCGGACTCAATGATCTCTAGAGGTCCCTTCCAACTCCTACAATTCTGTGATTCTGTGTGATTTTGTGATATTTGCTCAGTATTAATTAGTGTTATCATTATCTATCACTTCAGTGGAGCTGGAAGTCAGGCTCAAATCTAATTACAAAGTTAGCCTGGAATTAATTCCTCTGCAAATCACAGCAGACAGACCAATGGGACAGCACAAAGCAAATGTCTGTCATACTTCACTAATTTCTGTGGAAATGTTATTGTTTAGAACGGCCAGTTTGCAAGCAGTAAGTTCAAGACACGTCTTCTTTTACAAAAAAAAAATCTCAGTCCATAGGCCATCCAGCTGCAACAGCTATGCTGTTAGATGAGCACTGTTTACATTCCTCCAGCAGAATGAGATAATACAGGAATGTCAAAAATTCAGTCAAATCTGCTGAAGAAAATTCTCTTCTTTGCAAAAGATCTGAATTTTGGACAGTGGGATTTTCCACAGCGCTGAAATATCATTTTCCAGTTTCTGTGCTATCAAGTGATCTACTGGCTGGTCTCATACAACTGTAAACACAGCAGTACATTTTTAATTGACATCCTTTTGGCCAGATAGTCTGTCCATCTCATATTCAGTTTCCCAGGCAGCAACGCTAAGGAGTAAGAACAGTTGAGTAGAAAAGCACTTCATTTTGACACAACAGATCAGTGATTCTTCTCCAGCTGAATGAAGACAGCAAGTACAGTAGTTTTCTCACAGCATAGTGCCCTTCTTCAAAAGAATGTACACACATAACATTTCCCCCTTTGCCCTCATCTCTTAGGCTTATACTTCTAAAGAGAGTACATATTATTGCGACACGTTGATATCCTCTGTTTTAAAACATTTAAGTGTTTGGGAACAAAGAGTGCCAGCAAGGATGACGCTCTAAAAAGCAACATTGCATTTCAATTTGTGATACAGCTTTGATACAAGCATTACAAGCATTTCTAAACAAGGCATTTGTTTTTTGTTTTTTGGGTTTTTTTTAATAAGTTATTAAAAATGCTTGGCAAAACGGAGCATGCAATAACAATTACTTCTTTGGAATAATAAAATGCTACATTAGAGGCACGCCTTGCCCTCGCTGCTATTGACTTCAGTGGAAGTCAGATCTACTAGCATTTGATGTGCATCCTATGTTCTGGACAGAAGAGTGCAAAAAATGAAATACATGATCCAAAACAATATTAATGACTGTCTATTCCACATCTTAGATAAATATCTACCAGCCTACACAACAACAATTAAATCTAAATTCCTAAATGGAGATCAGATGGCACAGGAGATTACAAACATAATCTGAGCCATTTCATCTCTAGTTTACTGGTTTCCGTACAGTCCTACTGAGGACAGAACAAAAAAGTCATCAGCAGCAAACATTCACTGGGAGTCAAACTGGCTGATTGCAGTTCACTTTTCTGTGGAGACTCAGATAAATTGGGGTGGAAAGGAAGTGGCAGAGGAAACATCAGTAAAATGGACAAAGCTGGAGGCCTTGAATCCGTTTGGAGAAAAGCTCTATCAATTGATCCTTAGGGGCCCCATCAGAAGCTGATGGGCAAAATAACAGAAGCAAAATAGTAGTTCTTTACTGGGAATTTCAGTCTCTGGTGCTGTAAGCATTTTTCTCAAGCAAGTCTATCTTTAGAAAAGGATTTGAAAATTACATAATAAATAGATTTCCTATATTAGAAGGAAACTAGAAATCATTCTGCTTAAGTGTACATGTTGTTTCACAAGAAGACGGGCTTTCAGACACTTCATCAGGACTGTCATCACATATCTCAGCACTGATTTACATTTAGAGGAGGGAAAGGAGGGATTTCACTCTCTAAATCTGGGCTCTACTGTAAACAGACGTGACTTAGGTCAGAGTCAGACTTCAGCTTTCATTCCTAGCCCAGCAAGCTACAGGCAAGAAGAAAACACACAAGACACATGGAAAGACAGATTCTCTTCCAGTAATGCAGAATTACTAAGTGCTTCTCAAGAAAGCCTCTTTACAGGAAATGTGGACGAACGATTTTAGGCTTCACTGAAAATGAAGTAATGCTTACACATATGTGAGGATACAGCAATACACACAGTACACAACTGAAAGAAACAGTTCTTGCTGGTAGATAATACCATCAATCTCCAAAATGAAAAAGTCTATTGAGGAACGAGATGCTCCGGATTACAAACATCCTTTCCTCCACTTGCATTTTTTCAGACATTCGTGAAAAGGTGACAAGCTTATTCAATTGTTTTTAAATCCCAGTGATTAGGAGAAGAACACAATCTTAGCCTACAGTTAATTTGCAAATGATTAATTTTGACTGCTTCCAGATAATAGAATTCAAGTAATCAAAGCCAGAGTATTGGCTGTAAAGTTCAGGCAGAATCAAACTCAGGAACAGAAAGAATAGCAAAGAGTTAATGGCAGATAACAGCAAGACATTATTTTGGGAATAATTATCTGAAGTAAAAACTCAGGTGATTTTTGAAATGTGTGTAAACATCTTTTCAAGGACACCAGTATAAATTAAGTCATTCTAATTTGTAAAAGAATGGATATGATGACTCCATAAATAAATACTCTTCATTTGTTACAAATATTTAGTTAGTTCCATTACCATTTTTAAACATGGAAAATAGATCCAGAACTTGGTGGCAGAGTTATGAGTATTTTTCACATTCCTCAAAATACTGCTGCTACAGAGATGTTGCAGGAATATTACGACTGAAATGTTAGAGCTTATTGCTCTATTTCAATCAGAATGTAGGTTCACGAAATGCAAGCAGATAAGTAATTTAAACTAAATGAAGTTATCAGAAGTCATGCATGTTATGTTATTATTGCCATATTCCTCATCCCCTTAGTTTAATGCACAGTTGGCCATGAGGTCTGCATGTTCTTCAGGGACACAGCACAAGGTAACAATGCATCTTATGAGATAACACCATCAACTTCTGGTGACATTTTTCAAACAATAAAAGGCAGCACAAATTTTTGTACTTGGAACAAGTTAGAAGAACAAACTATTCCTTCATTTCAGCCTGAGGGAAAGTATTAGACATAAGTTGTGGTGGGTGCTATTACATCTTGTTACAAGCTAAATCAAGTTTAAAACCACTGTTTAGACAACAGCAT